CGGCAGCAGGGCGAGGGCTCGTGCCATGCGGTGGGGGCTGGACTGAAGGGGTCCCTCACCCCTCACCCTGGTTCCTTGCAGCCGCCACGGACTGCAGCAGCTATTTCAAGCTGGGGGTGAAGGGTACGACGTTCCAGAAGTGCGAACACACCTCCCTGTGCTACGCGCCCAGCTGGGTGTGCGACGGCGCAAACGACTGCGGGGACTACTCAGACGAGCGCAACTGCCCGGGTGAGAGCGGGAGGAGGAGAGGGGGCTCGGGCACAGGGGGGCAGGGGCGTCACAGCCACCTTCTGGCCGGGAGCTTCCCTTCGGGGTCTGTTTGGGCGGCGGGCGCCCGCTTTGCTCGCCGGGAACGTCGCCCTTTGCCCGTGCAGCTCCGGCACGGAGCGTGCTGCAGGGTGCCGATGGATGCAAGAGCACGGAGGGTTTTTGGGGAGGAATCCTTCGGGGTCGGGCAGTCTCGGGCACATCCCCGCCACCGCTTACTGGTGTCTCCTTCACAAACCAGGGGGAAGGAAACCCAAGTGCCCAGCCAACTACTTCGCCTGCCCAAGCGGGAGGTGCATCCCCATGACCTGGACCTGTGACAAAGAGGACGACTGCGAGAACGGAGAGGACGAGACCCACTGCAGTGAGCGGCAGGGTGGGGAGAGCAAGGGACTCCGGGGCGATCGCGCGGGGTGGGGAGCACAAGCGTGCTGGAGCAGGGACAGGACCCTCTCCCCTCTCTGATGTCCCATTGCCAAGGGTCAGGCGCCAGATTCTTCCCCCTCTGTGGTCTTATTCCCCCAGCTCGGGCTTTTAACTGTGACCAGTGCAAACGTCGGTACGGGCGTGCGTGTCCGTGGTCAGCCTGAGGATGGCCAGTTACGGCTCGCTTCAATTATGTTTTAAGTTCCAGCCTCCCCCAAACGGTGCTCAGGAACTGGGGAACCTCCCCAGCTCCAGAGGGGGAACCCCACACCAGTCCTGCAGCTGCAGTGCCCGTCGGCGCGGTGTGGGCAAGCAGTAGCCCCAGCACCAGGAGGGGCTCCAGCCCTGCGATCCGATCCGGCTGTGCTCTGCTGCCGCGTCCTTGCCCCCCACCCCCCAGCATCGCCCCAGCTCTGATCCCTCCTCTCATCTCCTCCTCTCCCAGACAAGTTCTGCTACCCCGTGCAGTTCGAGTGCAACAACCACCGCTGCATCTCCAAGCTCTGGGTGTGCGATGGGGCGGACGACTGCGGGGACGGCTCCGACGAGGACAGCCGCTGCCGTGAGTCTGCTCCAGCCCCTCACCGTCCCTGCCGGCGCCGCCGCTCCCTCTCTCTGCATCCCTGCCTCTGCCCCCATCCCTCCTCCCACCCTTCCTTTCCTGCGCCCTGGTTCTCACTGCTCTCCGCTGCATCTCCAAGCTCTGGGTGTGCGATGGGGCGGACGACTGCGGGGACGGCTCCGACGAGGACAGCCGCTGCCGTGAGTCTGCTCCAGCCCCTCACCGTCCCTGCCGGCGCCGCCGCTCCCTCTCTCTGCATCCCTGCCTCTGCCCCCATCCCTCCTCCCACCCTTCCTTTCCTGCGCCCTGGTTCTCACTGCTCTCCCGGCTTCGGTAGCTTGGGGTCCCCTGAGACGTGGGGGCGCGGAGCCCAAGAGCGTGGGTTCCCCGGTGGCGGGGGTGATCGGCCTCCTCCCTGCCTCCCCCCTCCCCAGGGCTGACCACCTGCAGCGCGGGATCCTTCCAGTGCCCCGGC